TTTTTTTAATTTTTCCAAAAGTAATATAATATTTTAATATCAAAAAAATATATATTAAAATGTCGAGGGAGTCCGGTAGACGGTCCGTGGATATGGGCGACGTCAACCGAAGATTGAGTAAAGGCAAAGCTAAAGCCACCTCCGACGGTTCGACCTCACGCGGACACGGTTCTCGAGGAAGACACTGCGTCTCTTCGTTTCCTACTGTCCCAGATCATTTAATCAGGGACGCTGTGACGGATGAAGAATTCAACCAGATTTATTCTGGTAGAGGAGACGCGAATCTCCCCACTCTTGATAGTCTATTCGAGGATGTTGATGAAGCAGGACTGGATAATCTTGACGGGGACGATGAGCCTACACCGCAAAGCAACGACGTCGACGTGGAGGCAGGTGAGCCCGAGACCTCTCGAGGTCCGGACAAAGGTAAAAAAAATATAAATCAGAATTATTTGTTTATCATTTTGACAAAGACACAAAAGATGGCATAGTTTATGGAACTTGTAAACATTGCGGGACCGTCATAAAAATGGGAGTTTCCGGCGGTTATGGCGGTCCGGAAAAACACCTAAGGTCGAGGCATTACGATGACGACGATGTCGATTTTGACGTGCTCGGATGGTGGAAGCGGAACAAACACATGTTCCCATGTCTCGGCATGCTAGCAAGACAAGTGTTGTCCGTCCCAGTATCAACCGTAGCAGTTGAACGGGAATTCAGTGCTGGCGGCAACATTCTAACCGACTACCGAAGTTGTCTTAACGCTGAATCTCTTGAAACACTGGTTTGCAACCAAGATTGGCTCTTGGCAAGACGTCGGGCTCAAGAGTCATCGTACCAACTCGAATCGGAGCATTACATGAATGCAACCACAGATGGAAGTCCGAGTTCTGAAGAATAAGTTATAAATTTTTTTATGTTAATGTAAATATGTAATTAATTTTTTTAGGTGAGCGAAATATAAGCTCTTTCGAGGGTTTCTTTACAGTTCTTTACCTCGTCGCTTTTTTTGAACCGTCAGGATATTAAATGTGGTTGTTCTTCAGTTAGTGTATTACTCATTTTCAATATTTAAATAACAACTACATTTTTAGATTTTTTATTTCATTCTTTCCTTAAACAATTGCAAATTTACAATTTTATACATTAAAAATTTAAAAAAAAAAAGCAAAAAAAGGGGGGGGGGGGCGAACCGGGCCGGTCCGGTATCGGAACCGCCGGTCCGGGAACCGGAACCGGCCGACACGGTAACATTTCCGGTTACTTGGGGTGGCGGTACCGGAACCGTCCCGGAACAGTACTGTGTCCACCCCTAAATATTGCCATATTTAATCATTATTAATTTATTACCATGTAAGAAGAATGATAATAATATACTGTGTAATCAAATTACCGTACTTAGTCATTATTATCGTCTAATAATTCTAATCTAATAAGCTTTCAATTTAAAAATGTTTCCATTTAGAAAACATGGCCAAACTTAATATTACCATATTTAATCATTATTAATTTATTACGGTGCGATTATGTTAAGAAAATAAGCTTTCAATTTAATTATCTTTCCATTTAGAGATTCGGTGCCAAATATTTAATGAAGAATTTTTTTTAAGAAATTTAAATATATAAGTTTATGCATTTAAGGAAGGCACAATTAAAAAATCAAAATAAAAAATAATAACAGAAATTAAATATAAAAAATGTCAAAATAATACATATAAATGGTGGCATATGTTAAGTGTTGAATATAGAAATAATAATTAAATCATAAATTGCTTTGTAGCAAGATTAAATTATGTATTACCGTGTAGAAAAAATAATAATACTAATATACTGTGCAATAATATTAATGTATTTAATCATTATTAATTTATTGTCGTGAAAGAATAATAATAATAATATTATTATTATTATTATTATTATTAATATAATTATTATACCGTGTAATAATATTATCGTACTTAGTTATTATTATCGTGTAATAATTCTAACCAAATAAGCTTTCAATTTAATAATGTTTCCATTTAGAGATCCAGACCCAAACGTTTTATGGAGACATCGTTTTAATAGGTGTGCCTTTAATACGTGAAAACGTATTGAATAATATATATACCTTTATATGTTGAACAATCAACTACTAATTAATAACTTACCCGGAAAAAAATAGTTGCATGGAAATAGAAAAATACTTTAATTTTTTCATACTTTAAATATAGTCATTCTCAATCACTTTTCGTAATTAGCCTCTTTCAAATTTTTTGAATGACTTACACTCTCTTGAGTTTTTAAATAAGATTCATGCTTTCAGAGTAGAAAATCATGAAGAAGTCTTTAAATAAATAAATGTTTTAAAAGTTTGATATATAAAAATTATACGAGTAATGTAGTTTATAAAGAAGTCTTTTGTTATTTGTAAAACAATTAACTTTTGTACCTTAAAATAATAAAATCTTTATATTGTTCTCCATCCGTCCCGAAAGAAGTTTCCTTATTGACTTTTTGGAAAATTAAAGGAGGGATATTTTTTGTGTTGACTTTCCAAAAATACTCTTGATGTGATTGATAAAAGTAATATGTGATAGATAGATTATTAGTAAAAAGGTATGATGTGATATGTAGGGTATGAAAAAGTAAGGAGTAAAAGTAGTTTTTTAATAGAAAAAGGAAGAAGTCTGTGGGACAAAGAAAAAATGAAAAGGGAAGATGTTTCAGAGACGGAGGGAGTATTAGATAAGAAACTGTATCCTTCAAAAATGATCTTAATTTAGTAATATAAGTATGACCCGTGCAACGTACGGGAGTGATGCTAGTTCCTTTTTAAAAAGAAAATGAATTTTTTGAGACAAACAAATAGGGAAAGTGTTACTCGTATTTTGTTTAAATATTTTTGGAAGACATTAATATTTGTTGTTGTACAAAAAAATTTACAATGAAATATTTAATTTATACGTAATTAAATGTATAATATCAAATATACATGTATTTTAAAGTATTTTTTAGAAATCACTAATACGAGTATTATATGTCTTTAAGTATAATAGGTGTATTATATCTGTATTATACTAGCTAGGGCCTTAATAAGTTGCCATTGCTTCTTCTCAACGACTCCACCACTTCTGCACTAGACGAACCGCTGGCCATAATCTCTAGTCTCTACTGCATCGCACCATAGTCACGATCGCTGCCGTCAGCGGCCCCACGACCATCCGGTAAATCTCTTATCTTCTTCTCCCACACGAAATTCAGCATAGCGATTCAATCTTCTTCAGTCTTCACAACCAAAACCGCAGATTTTGAAAAGACTCCCCCCTTGTTGCAGTCGGCAAATTGCCAATTAGGTTATGCTGAACTTTTTCTCCCTGGTTTTAATGGCTTTTCTTATGTGGCTAGCTTTTCTGTTCAGAAGTCAATCGATATTGAGTTCATCTGGCATTAGATTTCGCCTTTTGAAAAATGTATCCAAGATTTAAGGATCATTAAAATTAAAAACGCTTATTCCCAAACCCACCCAACAGATTGTAACTATTTCATGCTGATACATGCGGGTTTGGTTTGATTTTGGCATTACAGTGTTGGCTTATGCATTTTCCATAGTTCTAATGGGTCCTTTTCGGAACACCTTTCATAATTACTACTCCGTATTAGAGTTTTGTACCTACCTATTTTTACTTCTTAATTAACCAAAGAATGTTTTAACATTACCTCCCTAAATGTGCCTCATATTACCTACCTCCAATTACCTTCATTAAAATACCTCATTTCACCTACATCTATCTTCTCCCTAACAAAGAATAAGGAAAGATTATCAAACTTCATTTTCATTATATAGGCAAAAATTCAAGTTTTTCATTAATAAGAATATAAGATTTAAGAGCAAGAATGCTGTTTATGACTGCTGTACAATTTGGTATACAATAGCGTAAAAAAGCACAATTACCCACTAATTTTACTACCGCCCCTTGCAAATGAAAAGAACAGTACAAAACTAAAAAAGTCACATACTTGAATTTGAACAAGGGATTGTTGTTTGGGATTAGCTGTTAGCGGGTAGCGGATTCCCTCAAAGAGTTTGGCTATTGAGTTGAGTGAGAAGGCTGAAATAAAATATTAGTAAGTTAGCGGGTTGCAAAGAAATGTTTGGATTGAGTTTCCCCTGAGTCCAGGACGTAAGTCAGAGATAAAACCCTAGTGCGACGGAAACACATTACTCTTCTGGTAAACAGCAGGCAGGTTCACACAATTAACAGTCAGAAAATCATTTAAAATGAGTTAAATGCACGAATAGTCCTTGTGATCTTTGTAAATAGTCTCCAAACTTTCAAAAGTTTCAAAATAGTCCTTGTGATCAAAGAATCATTGCAAAATCAGTCCCTCTATTAGAGATTTCGTGAAATGTGCATAAGACGCACTTATTATGCAATGATGTGAATCATGTAACAATAGAAAAAGCTAATTTGAAGTTTCATTTGTGATTTGCAAGTCTGAACAATATGAAAATATCTTCCATCTTTTCGTTCAACTCTCACGACTTCTTCATATCTTCAACAGTGATATTCTTGAATGGTAGAACAATGTTCTATGTGTGCTTGACTTTATTCTAAGGTAATATTGTGTGACATAAGAGCTGGAAAAAGACCATTTCTTGTCTTTAACCACAAAGACAAGGGTAGTTTTATCTGATTAACTTCTTTTTTTGTTACATGCTTCACATTTTCACACAATACGCATGTCTTTTGTGTCTTTACATTTTCCCGAAAGGACTAATTACGCACTAATTCATTGAGCATAGGGACTATTTCACAAATCTTAAAAGTACATGGACTATTAACCTACTTATGAAAAACCACATGGACTATTTATGCATATAACTACATTTAAAATTGTCCCGCTGTTCCCGTTTAGTCTTAAGTGGTCCGAATAATATGAGGAACCTCAGTTGTGCTCAGTTGGTTCGTCTCATACTCCCTCCGTCCGGGAATGATGTTCTCATTGTACGTTTTTTTCCGTCCGGGAATGATGTTCCCATTGTACGTTTCTTTCTCTATTCTTCCAAAATTACTCTCATCCTCCATCCTTTCTTTTTTTCCTTCTTCCGCCACTTCTTTTCTTCTTTCTTTTTTTCCTTCCTTTCTTTCGTTCTTCGGCCACTTCCTTTCTTTCCTTCTTCCGCCACTTTTTTTCTTCCTTTCTTCCTTTCTTTCCCAACCTGCCACCTTCTTCCTCTTCTACCTCCTTCTCTTCTCTCCTCCTCTTCCTCCTCTTCTCTTTCTCCCACGTTTTCTTTCTTCTTCTTTACCCCCTTCTAGATCTGTGTAGAGCGGCGGTGGCGGAGGTGGCGGCGTTTGTGACGGAGGCGGTGTCGGTGTGTCGGCGATGATGACGGCGGTGGTGTCGGTGATGGGGACGGCGGCGGTAGCTGTAATGGTGAGTCTAGATCTGCTCTTCTCCTTTTCCTTCCCCTTACTCTTTCTTTTAGATCTATCTTTTCCTCCACTTTTTTCTTTCTTTCCCTTTTCTCTCTCTCCAGCAATGTTTGCGGCTGTGGGAGATGGAGGTGGGGGCTGACGGTGGCGGTGGGAGGTTGGGTGGTGGAGGGCTGGCGGCGGTGGTGGCAGGTGGGGCTTATGGCGGTAGGGTGTCACTGGAGGTGGGCAGGGCCGCAGGGGTGCTAGAGGGAGGTGGGCTGTGGTGACCCTCAAAATGCAAGGGCATTTTAGTCCTTTCAAGCCATTAGTCAATGCCTCTTAAAAATGTGGAAAATTCAAAGTGGGAACATCATTCCCGGACGGAGGGAGTAACATTTAAAAAAAAATAATTCACAATACGTTTGTAAAGGGGTTTCAACTTTGTGTGTGTTGATCTTGACATCTTGTTTGTCTATGAATTTGTAGTGGATGTTGTATATTGAAATTGAAAGAACTAAAAGAAGACTCTTGCTTCATTCAAGCCTAGGCGTTTTTTGTGCAATTCAAGCCAATGTGTGTTTCTAAAGAAACTTTAAATTACTCTGTAGAATGTTCATTTTTATTCAAATTTTGATTTATACTTACTTGAATGTTTTTTTAATATAAATTTCGTTGTGTTTATATACTAAAAAAACAATGTTTCAAGTTAAAATTCTCATTAGGGGTTACTAAAAATTTAAATTGATATAGTTTTAATTGTAGACTTGGTTGATTTGATACTTGTTTCTCAAATATTGCATAATATATAAGTTGATGGGGGTCTTTTATCAGGTCATTTATTAAGTCGTTGCCTGGTTACTGGTTGATCCTTTACTCAATTGGTTGTCCACATCACCATCTGGTCTGATATTCAGAACATTACCATCAACCACCCTTTGATTCACGGTCGGTGAGGTGGACCCAAAAACATTGGAGATGGTAACAAGGCTAACAGCATGACATTTTTTGCTGAACATACAGAAGTTATATATCAGTGGGGTCCGTTTCCCCTATCTCCACCATAGAACCTTTTTTTCTCTCTTCTACAAAAAAATAAAAATATTCATGCCATGCTGATAATCAGCAAGTTCAACATGACCAGAAGATTAATTCTCAAAATTCACCCATTATCTTCTCAAAATTCAATCTTGTCACACTACCTACCCTTCTCGTATATCCAGAAGCAGAGCTATGTTAATGTGTACATGAAATGGAAGCAAGACTTTTACTTAGAGTCAATTGAATCAGTTCACAGATCAATTGAGCTACGGCCCATACTTGCCCTCAAGAACTACATAGTCTCTGTTTCACCTCAAGAGTATTCCATTCCTATATCTGCCGTTTCCAAGAAGGGCATACACTTTGGAGTGCACATTAAGGTTGCTAGGTTCTTGAGGCAATACCCATCTGTGTTCGAGGAGTTTACTGGCCCCGAGCACAATCTTCCCTGTTTCAGGCTGACCCAGAGAGCCATTGAGCTCCACAAGGAGGAGAGGGATGTCTACAGAGAATTTAACGATGATCTTATTTTAAGATTAAAGAAGTTAATCTTGATGAGCTGTGTTGGTTTTGGTGAGAAAAAGGTCCTTCCTTTGAAGATCATTAAGGGTATGCAGTGGTATTTGGGATTTCCCGACGAGTTCTTGACAGACCCCGAAAAGAATCTTGACGGATCATTTGAAGTTGTGGAAATGAGTGATGGTCTGACAGGATTGGCTCTGAAGAACAACAATCTGAATGATAGGGTGTTGTCTGTGATGCAGAAGAATGCAATAAAAAGAGGTTGGGATAATGAAACCATTCCATTCCCCATTTTTCCATCTAAGGGATTGAGGTTGAGGAGAAAGATTATAGATTGGTGGGATGAATTTCAGAAGCTTCCCTATGTTTCGCCTTATGAAAACTATAACTCACTGATAAGGCCAGATAGCGATGCAGCAGAAAAGCGGGTGGTGGGGTTGCTTCATGAGTTGCTTAGCTTGTTTGTGGAACACTGTGCTGAAAGAAGAAAGATTTTGTGCCTAAGGAAATACTTGGGATTGCCACAGATGGTTCATAAGGCATTTGAGAGGCACACCCACATTTTCTATCTGTCTTTGAAGAACAAGACATGCACGGCCATATTGAAGGAGGCTTACTTTGAGAAAGGGGCTATTGACACTCACCCTCTAGCAAAGGTGAGGAAGAAGTACATCAAATTGGTGAAAGAGTCCACCTTTATTTTGAAAAGAAGAAGGTTCAGCAATAGGGCATGTGATGGCAGAAGTGTGAATGTAAATGCTATAGATTGTGAACATGACGATGGGAGTGAGAAGACTGAACTTGAAGCTTCCTAGGTAGTGGATTTTCTGGATTAAAGTAGGTCATTGTGTACTAGTAGAGGAGCTCTTTGATTTTGTGGGAAAGAGTTGATTTGTGGGATGAAATCTTGAGAATAAATGCACAAATAGTGTTATTCATGCATATTGCTAAAGGAAATCGTTATGAGCTTGACGAGCTTTGGTTGGAAGTTTATTACTCTTGGTGCAAAAGTTTCAGGTAATCAGTCCAACTTATCTCTTTTTCATCATTGATTTGCGGAGTAACTATCGTATTGCACCTTAAGAAAGTTGGAAGAATTTTTGCATTATTAGACAGTAGACTTAATTTGCGCAAACAATTTGATTTCATTGATCTATAATATTTAGTCTCTGCTTACTTAGAACCAGAGAATCACAAGTTCAATTGATTTTCGCGTGCCTTTTGCATGGTTGGAATCTAGATTAGTTCTCTACTTGTTTTTTTAAATGCTGTGGTTTAGGAGCTCTGCAGGTTGATATAATTCATCAATCTGTCCAAAGCTTTTGTGAATTTCCAATCAACGCAAGTCATGATTCTGATGAATAATTTATTATCTCTGAAGGGAAGAAGTTGAAACTTACTGATCAGTCAATTTTTAGCTGTTTTTTAAATGGTTTATAATTAGCTTTTCATTAATTTCTGCAGTTTCTTGTTCCAAATGCGAAGGAAACCAGAGAGACTGAACTATTTCCTTCCTAAGCAAGCATCCAATGAAACCAGCCATATTTTGAATACAATTCTTGCTATATAACTTCTTTATCCCCACACCAATGTTCGAAAAGGCGGAACGCAAACCCGCCTCAAGGCGCGCGTCGAAGCTTTTTTCGGAAATTACGCACTGGTGCTAATCCTGATTTCACGCGCTAGGCTTTTTTACGCAATTCTTAGAAAGGCGTACGCCATGGGGCGTATGCTCCAGTGCGCGCATTGAGGCTTACGCGATTCAATGATTAGAATTTAGAAAATTAAACAATTAAAATTTTGGATATTAAAGGTTAAAGTTGTCAATTACTCCAATTAATTAACCCGATTAAGTGTATATATGTTAAAATTACCTTTGTCTAGTGTTGATTACCCTAATTGCCTTTGTCGATTACCTTTCTGCGACCCACGAACCGTCTCCAGCAGTCCAGCGTCTTCAATCTTCTTTCTCCGGCGAAGGTAATCTCTGTGTCTTCTTTTTCTTTCCACTTGCGTGATGGATAATGGATGATGATGGGTGGTGGGTGGTGCTTTTCTGCTTTTTACAGCTGTCCATGCTTTTTATCTTTTTATAATTGTCAAGGTGCTGTTTTTGACTTTTTTCTTTTTCTTTTTTTTTGTTATCTTTTTGTGAAGTAGACTAACATTCAATTGATGTTTTTTATGAGTTTATGATTGGTATTTTTTTCAAGCAATCGGATCGGCTGATTTTTTTACCTGTTATTCTGTTAATTTATTTTTTTCTCTTTTTTGATAATTGATGTGCTAATTGTTCTATTTTTTTAAGATGAATTATTTGCATAGTATTGTATTGTTTATTTTGGTTTCAGAAATTAGCATATTGCTTAAATGTCGGACCCAGCATGAAAATATGGTGTTGACTCAACACCCAATATCGAAGGACAAAAAAAACTACAAATATGTAAACTGCAATTTTTGTAAAAAAGATGTCAAAGGCGGGATTAGTCGAGCAATATTATGTCTGATTCCATGTTAGACTTTGTTATGTTTGCGATGTATTACTTTGACAATATACTTTTTTCATGTTATTGGATTATTTATGTTATACATTATGCTCTATCTTTGGTTTTAATTTGTTTTGTGAATGTTTTTCAATTTAAGTTTTGAGGCTTACGCCTCAAAACGCCTCAAGGCTTACACAATACGCCATGAAATGAAAACGCCTCAAAACCGCAATACGCCTTTTCGAACATTGCCCCACACTTTAAGGGTCTGTTGGAACATGGAAAATACTCTGGGAAAAAAGTAGGAAGCACAATAGAGAAGATAAATCTGGGTGAAAATAAAAAATAATCGTACTCAATACATTTGTTTTAAATATTTGTTCACACTCATTTTTTTTAGTATTTTCATTGTAGAAAGACAAAAAGATTTAAATGCATTCAATCTTTTTAAAAACTACTCCGTACTTATAATTCACACTCCGTTTTCAATTTTCAAAGGTGAAGAGCATTTTTCTCTTTCCACGGCATTTTCGAGATCCAAACATACCCTATAGTATTTCTGTGATTCCAGAACTCCGATTCCAAAATTTCAAGGATACATCACAACGTGACCTTTTTTTGACCCCATCAGCTTGCAAGAAGCTGCACAAGACCTTGAGTTGTTTCCTCTGCTTAAAAAATGCGCAATAAATTCAATCATGGAGTTAAACTTTCTCTGCCCTTCTCTGGAGTGAATTGCAGTGTTTGATGATCAGAATGCAGATTCAAGTGATCTTTATAAAGTGTTTAGAGTGCTGGGAAAAACTTTAAGTTCTGGAGGAAATCAAGGAAGGCAAAACCATGTGCCAACTAGACATATAAGACCCCTTAGCTTTCATGGAGTCTTGTATTCCCGTACACTACATGATCTATTTCTAAAACTTACGAGTTCTTCACTTTCAAAACTCACTGATATTAATATCAGCAAACATGGTACAAATTATGATTTCCCCGCCCCTGGTGCAATGAAAGCGAGAACACTAATATGAAGTTATTGAAAGGAGCAAAGCATTATCGTGTTCTCTGTGGATAAACCTCAGTCCCCTCAGCTAAGAAGGGTAATACATCCATGAGAGTTGAATCACAAGGTAGTGTAAATGTGTAATAGAACCATTGCCTAGAAGTCCAAAATCTTCGTCAGACATGTTTAAGACTTAAGAGTTGCCTAATAATCTTATTATTGAGATAAGAATAATAAGATAAAGGCACAAACACCCACTTCCGCCGCATAGATAGCAAAAGGACCCTTGCTAACAGGAAAAGAAAGTATTGCACCCATCATCTAGTCTTGAAATCCTCTTCTGCCACCTATTTGCTAGTTTGATGATTGAAACATAATAAGATCTGTACCCAAGATTTCTGTCTTCACTCTTCAGAGTTGGATAAAAAGAGTTGGAAGAAAGTTGGAGGAATTGGAAAAGGTTGAAAGGAGTTGAAATAAATATTACGCAGTATATTGTTTAGTAATATTTGTGTGACTCACATTCATTCTTATTTTTTCTTACTTTTTAAAAATTGATATCAACCACATAATTTTACGTTACTAAATTTTCTTGTCACTAACTCATGCCCCAAAAGTAGTGGGACAAAAACAGCAATATTTTATTGTTAATGTTAATTGAAAGGAAAATTTGACTTAAACAATCCAATGTTTGTTCGATCAAACATTAATAATCCAACATCAGTAGTCCTACACCACACTTTATTCATTAATATTCTTAAGTTCTTGTGTATCTCACAAGAATGGCGTGGTGACTAGCAGTGCTAGTTTTCATTACAAATTGCTGATCTGGAATGATTTTCTTTCTTTTTTTTTGTTTTCATTTTTAGTGTGGTCACATGTCTTTTAAACTTGTTGTGCTTAGTGCATCCACACCATACAAGACAATCACCACATGTCTTTAGGAATGTCTAGGCAGAGGACCTCTGAACTACCAGAGTTTTGTTTAGGCACAGCTGCAGAAAATCACAAATTGTGTACATCAATTAGGTTGCTTGTTGATTTTTGCTCACTTTGAATATAATTTGAATATAGTTAATTTGAAAAAAAAACTTGGAAGATATGAATATCTGTTGAGCTACAGCTGATGAGTTCTTCATTTACAACAATTACTGACAACATAGTTCCTGATTTCTCATCCCTCTTGGTGCAGTAAAGGTGATGAACAATAATACAAAGTAATGGAGATGGACAATGCATTCCCATGTTCTCTAGATAAACCTCTGCTAAATGCTAATAAGTGAAATGATGCAGTCCATGAAAGTTGAATCACAAGGTAGAGTAGTAAGCCTATTGCTTGGAACTCCAAATTCTTCTACAGACATATTGAAGTCTTGTCTAATAATCTCATCATTGATATAAGATAGAGGCACAACAAAGCATTTCTGACCAGCCGTACAGAGCAAAATGATCCTGATTAACCGAAGCAGAGGAATTAAAGTAGCTATCTGCATCATCATATAGTCTTGGGAACAAAATTTTCTCTTTGGATGACTGCAATCTTCTGCCTTCTTTTTGCTAGCTTGATGAGTAGTCTGGGACTGATCATGTTATTAGCTCAAAAGAAAGAAAGAAAAAAGGGAGATCTAATGGGAAGATCACAAAATATGTAAAAACCTTGTATCTTGGTTGGACAGATTTGTAGTGTTGGATGAACAAATTTTATATGGAAGTTTGTCTGTTTAGTAAACCAGACAAGGGAACACCATGTTTGCTTCCAGTTGTGTGAGGGCCTTTTATGAGCATCATTCAGAGCAGACAAAACCATGTTATACATGAATGAGGAATGACATTCGCATGGTTTTGTTTCCAAGTAATCTGATTAAGGATATTTTTCTAAGTGAATAGCATTGACATCTGGCAGTAAGTTGGGCTTTGTCTGTCTCTTTACTTTCATTGAAAGCATGTAGGGAATGGTGTATATTGACAGCTCTTTCATTATGTTAGGTGAACTTATGATGATCTTTCAAACAAAAATCTTAGTAGTGTCCTATCATGCTACCTAGACTTTCCTGAGTTTCCTCCTATCCTAATCTCTCTTAGCCACTTATTCCACCTCCTAAAAGATCTATATAAACATACATTTTGTCATGCTTTTTTCCCCACACTCAACTACATCCTCCACAAAAATTTTATTTTCTACCTTCTTCAACTTACACTGCATCCTGTCCCCAACCTGGAATTTGAACATGGCTATTAGTATGGGGCATCTTCTCTGTGGCAAGCAAGGCCTAAGAAGGTTTTGTTCAAAGTCAAACAGAGAAATTGAGGTTCCCAAGGGACACTTTACTGTATATATTGGCCAGGGCAAAAAGAAAGGATTTGTTATTCCGATTTCATACTTAAAGGACCATTCATTCCAAGACCTGCTAAGTCATTCCGAAGAAGAAATTGGGTTTGATCATCCGATGGGTGGACTTAGTATTCCTTGTCCCGAGGACACTTTCCTTGACATCCTCTCTAGTATTAAGTAGATGCTGATAGTCATTCCGAACAGTTTAGTATAGAGACTTCAGGCAGCTTAGTTTATTATAGTCATTCTAAACAATTTTGTACCTAGAAGTATACATGTACAGTGTTTTTTTCCCTGATCAGATTGGGAAATAATCTTCATCAGATTTTTTTCAATAGTCATGTATCAATGTATTACTTATCATGAATCCTTCAAGTTTTAGCTAAGGAAGTCCAATTTTTCAAGTCTTTATTGAAGGTATGATTTCATACTAAAACACATTTTCATCATTTGTAGCTAAGACACTGAGACATGCACAAAATCTATAAAGCATGTACTATGTTGCTTATAAATCTTCCCTTTATTGAAAGGACTTGAAGATTTGCTCAGAATAAAAGATTTTTGTCTTGAGGTGAGTTCATATTTTGTGCACAACTTCAGACATCATTTATGCAAAAGTTTTATGGTAGACAACTAGACATTAACACATTTAGATCAGAATGTAATCAATGCATTCATCTTTGCAGTTTACACATATAGTGGCATCCAACTTCACTTAATTAATTATTCACTTCATAGGCTTTGAAACAATATTGCCCTCATAATTACTCCCTCCGTTCAGAATTAGGTGTCCACTTTCTTGTTTTCATTTATCTGGAGTTAGTTCTTCACTTTCCATATTCAATGAAGATAATAAGATGAATTGTCTAAATTATCCTAGAGATAGGGTATGAGCAATGTTCACATGAATGAGTGACACACATTTGAAGGACTTATTTGACATTTTATACTCATTTCTTAAATAGTGAGATTTTTAGAAAGTGGACAACTAAATCCAGACGGAGAGAGTATATACTTATATGCAATACATGTGTAAATACATATTTTACATTGAAATTTACTTTAAGGAGAAAGTAGTGATGGCTGAAGAGCGTTTTAATTTTTAGAAGTATTGTTAAGCTTATCCAGATAAACCATAGTGAACCAGACACAAGAATGGGTGGGTAACAACATGGCCTATGGAACATATAACATATTTGAAGATTATTAAGCCTATTGTTGGACATAGAAACTATACTGCATGTTTGCAATAAAAAATTCTGCGTAGTTTACACAAAAATTATCATTCTTATTGAAACATATTTTTATGCAATAAGTGCTTATGTATATAGATCGAATTGTAGTTCATTGATAAAAGATTCATTATTTCAGATCATTTCGATGTTTAATGTATGAGGCTTACAAAGTAAAGAGCGGAGGGTACATTTTACTATATGATCCGAACCCACCCAGATATAGAAATCAGGTGAATTATAGACAGTCCAGAAGTCAGAAAAGGGACGAAAGCATTTTCATTCATATGATATTCAAATTGGTTTTGTTGAGGAAGTGACCTGCAAGGGACATTGTTGGGGTGGGGACTATTCATAATATTGTGCTTAGATCATCCACACCTTAGATCTTCAGGAGAGTGAGCAGTTGTCAGTAGAGCACTAAACTACCCTAGTTTTGGTTATGCACAGATGTACAGAATCTTAGTCACAAAATCACAAATTATCTGAGGCAATTAGATTGCTTAATGATATTTGTTTACTATGAATATAATCTGAATAAAATTTATTCTGTTAGAACTTTGGAACATATGAATATCTGTTGAGCTACAGCTGAAGAATTCTTCATCAGTTACAAAATGAAGCAATTCCTGATTCCTCCGGCCTTCTTGTTGCAGTGGAGACAAGCTAATGAAGCAATGGATTCTCAAGTTCTCTCGATAAACCCTTGCGGTAGTGAAATGATGCAGTCCATGAAAGTTGAATCACAAGGTAATGTATTATGCCCATTGCTTAGAAGTCCCAAACACTCTTCAGACATGTTGAAGAGTTGTGTAGTAATTTCATTATGGAGATATAAAAGTGGCACAACAAAGCATTTCTAACCAGCCATATAGATAGCAAAATGAACCTGATTAACTGCTGGAGAGGAAGTAAAGCAGATACCTGCATCATCTTGTAGTCTTGGGAACAAAGTTCTCTCTTTGGATGACAGCAAACTTCTCTTTGGATCATTGTGAAACTGATCATGTTATTAGCTCAAAAAGAAAGAAAGGGAGATCTAATGGGGAGATATACAAATTATATAGAAATCTTGGATCTTAGTTGGACTGATTTGTAGGGATGGATGACCAAATTTCATTTTGATGTTTGTCTGTTTAGTTAATCAGACAAGAGAAAACCATGTTCTCTTCCAGTTGTGTGGGGGCCTTTCATGAGTTCCATTCAGAGAAGACAAAACCATGTTATACATAAATGATGAATGACATTCATATGGTTTTGTTTCCGAGTTATCTGATTAAAGATATTTTTCTAGGTGAAGAGCATTGACATCTGGCAGTAAGTTGGGCTTTCCCTTCACTTTCATTTAATGCATGTAGGGAATGATGTTTTTATTGAGTGAACTTGTGGATGATCTTTCAAAGACAAGTCCATGTGCAGAAGTGTCATATCATGCTCCCTAGACTTTACTTTCATCCTAATCTCTCTTAGACACTTATTCCACCTCCCAAAAGATCTATATAAACACACATTTCCTCAGGTTTTATTAACCACACTCAACTACATACTCCACAAACACCTTTTTTTCTGCCTTCTTCAAGTTACACTGCATCCTCCACAACCTAGAATCTGAACATGGCTATTAGTATGGGGCACATTTTCCGCGGTAAACAAAGCTTAAGAAGGTTTTCTTCAAGAACGAACAGAGAAAGTGAGGTTCCTAAGGGACACTTTGCTGTTTATGTAGGCGAGGGCGAAAAGAAAAGATTTGTCATTCCGATTTCATACTTGAAGGACCATTCATTTCAAAGCTTGCTAAGTCAATCTGAAGATGAATTTGGGTTTGATCATCCGATGGGCGGACTTACAATTCCTTGTCTTGAGGACACTTTCCTTGACATCATCTCTAGTCTTGAGTAGATACTGATAGTCATTCTGAACAATTTAGTATAGATATTACACACAACCTAGTTTATTATTCTGAAATTTTTTGTACCTAAAAGTGTACTTGTACAATGTTCTTTTTTTTCCTGATCCATTTGGGAAATAATGTTCATAAAAAAATTTCAATAGCCATGTTTCGATTTACTACTTATCTTGATTCATTCAAGTTTTAGCCAAGGAAGTCTAGTTTTCAAGTTGTTTTTGACAGTTGGATTTCATAGTAAAACACATTTTCAGCAGCTAAGATGCTGAGACTTGCACAAGATCTATAAAGCATGTACTGTGTTAGTTATAAGTTTTTCATAACAAAGAATTATGATCTTGAGAAGAGTCCATATTTTGTGCACAACTTCAGACACCATCCATCTTTACAGTTTACACATATAGTGGCATCCTACTTCCCTTAATTAGCTATTCACTTCATTGGGCTTTTTGAAATAATACTGCCCTCATAATTTGTCACTCCGTCTCGAATTAGTGGTCCACTTCCCATATTCAATGAAGATAACACAATGAATTGTCTAAATTATCCAAGAGATAGGGTATCAGCAATGGTCACATGAATGAGTGACAAACACATCTGAAGGACTTATTTGACATTTTAAGGACTACTATATCCGGATGGAGGGAGTATATACTTATATGAAATACATGTGTATATATAGCAAACTGTAGTTCAATGATAAAATATTCATCATTTTGGATCATTTCCATGTACAATATATGAGGCTTACAAATTAAAGAGTGGATGGGATATTTTTTTGACTAAATGATTACAACCCTTTCAGATCTAGATAAATGAACTGCTCAAGAGTCAAATTTAGAACAAAGAACTTCAAATCAGGGAGAGCTTGAGCAGTAGTGAGTTGGTCACTAAACTACCACAGTTTTGGTTTAGCACAGATGTAGTGAAGCTATATGTGCACCATCATATGGTCCTTGGAACAAAATTCCCTTTCTTTGGATGCCATCTTTTAAACTGTTCCTATTTTAAGCGTTAATGCCAGGCTTGAAGTTATTGAGTAAGGCAGAGAAGGCAAAGCCATGTTCCCCTCCAGTTGTATGGGGGGGCCTTTCATGAGCTCCATTCATAGAAGAAAAAACCGTGTTCTACACAAATGAGGATTGACATTCAATGTTTTTTTTCTCTCCAAACAATCTGATGAAAGATATTTTATAGGTGAATAACATTGACATCTGGTTGTATGTTGGGCTTTCCCTGTCTGTTCACTTTCATTGAAAGCATGTAGGGAATGGTGAGTTCAGTGACAGCTCTTTCATTATGTTAGGTGAATTTGTGGATGATCTTTCACAGACAGATCCATGTGCAGAAGGGTCCTATCATGCCACCTAGACTTTCCTCCACTTATTCCACTTCCTAAAAGATCTATATAAACACACATTTCCTCAGGTTTTATTCACCACATTCAACTACATCATCCTCCACAAATTTCTTGCTTTCTGCCTCCTTCAGCTTAAGCTGAATTTCAACCTCCACAACCTAGAATCTGAACATGGCTATAAGTATGGTGCACATTCTCCGTAGGAAACAAGGCCTAAGAAGGTCTTCTTCGAGAACAAACAGAGAAAGTGAGGTTCCTAAGGGACACTTTGCAGTTTATGTAGGCGAGGGCGAAAAGAAGAGATTTGTCATTCCGATTTCATACTTGAAGGACCATTCATTTCAAAACTTGCTAAGTCAATCCGAAGAAGAATTCGGGTTTGATCATCCGATGGGTGGACTTACAATTCCTTGCCCAGAGGACACCTTCCTTGACATCATCTCTAGCATTCTGTAGATATTGATAGAGAGTACATTCAGCTTAGTTTATTTCAGTCAGCAGAATAGCTTTGGAGCTAAAAGTATACTGCATTCTTTTTTGTTTCCCGATCATATTGGGAAATAATATTTTTTCAATTTTTTTTAAATAGTCATGTATCTACTTATTCCTTGACCCAATCATTCAAGGTTTTTTCCTAGTTCATCTATGGAAAGTAAGATTATCAGTAAAAGGCATTTTCTTCCTATGTAGCTATGACACTGAGTTGTGTGCAAAGTTTAAGTTTCTAAAGCATGCCCTGTATATATTTATAGGTCTTACCGTTCTTGAAGGAAAATCAAGATATGTTCAGAATACAACAACAATAATCTTGTGAAGAGTCCATATATCCAAAAGTTTCCATCATAGCCATTAAAGTTAAGGCCTGCCTCCACCTAAGCAAGCCCTATGACTTCCAAGAATGTCCCTTATGACATGTAGTTTAGAGCAATTGATAGTGGTAAATGCGGATAAGAATACTCCGTACTCCGTATTAAGGAGTAGTAGTAAACTAGTAAGGTGAGATTGAAAATATTTACTTGCACCAATGACCAACTATGTGATAATTTTAATGTAAATTTCAGAGTTTTTCCTAACACTCCCTCTGTTGCCAAAATAAATTCACACTCCAAAATTCTTTTTCATTTGTAACAAAATTGTGAGATGCTAGGCATCCGTCATAAAACTTGCCACTATAAATTCCACCACAGTGACCACACTGATCCCCACTAGCCGTGATTAAGATGTAGGTGTTTTTGACATATGAGGTGTTGTCGTTAAGCGAATCCTACGTCATTCCAAGACTTGCTAAGATATTCTGAAGAAGAATTTGGGATTGATCATCCGATGGGTGGACTTGCAATTCCTTGTCTGGAGTACACTTTTGTCATCATCTCTAGTCTTGGGTAGATACTGATAGTCATTCTGAACGATTTAGTATAGAGATTACACACAGCTTAGTTTATTATTCTGAAAATTTGTACCTAAAAGTATTCTTGCACAATGTTTGTTTTCCCTGATCCATTTGGGAAATAATGTTCATCAAATTTTTTTCAATAGCCATGTATTGATTTACTACTTATCTTGAATGCTTCAAGTTCTAGCTGAAGTTTTTACCGAAAGTAGGATTTCATAGTAAAACACATTTTTAGTACCTAAGATGCTGAGACTTGCACAGAATCTATAATAAAGCATGTACTGTGTTGCTTATAAATCTTCCCTTTCTTGAAAGTAATAGAAGAAATGTTCAGAACCAAGAATTATAATCTTGAGAAGAGTCCATATTTTGTGCCCAACTTCAGACACCATTTATGCATAAGTTTCTATGGTGGACACCAACACATTTAGATCAAAATGTATTCATCTTTGCAGTTTACATAGTGGCATCTGACTTCATTGTTCATATGAATGAGTGACAAACACATTCGAAGGACTTATTTGACATTTTAAACTCACGTTTTAAAAATGAGATTTTCTTAGAAAGTGGTCTACTATATCCGGACGGAGGGAGTATATACGTATATGCAATGCATGTGTATATTCATATTTTGCATTAGGATATACTTTATGGAGACAATAGTGATGGCTTGACAACATTTTAATTTTTAGAACTATTGCTAAGCACATCCAGATAGAGACCATAGTGATCCTACAAGAATGGGTGGATGACAACATGGCCTTTGGAACAGAGAACATATTTGAAGATTATTAAGCCTATTCTTAGACAAAGAAACTATACTGCAAGTTTGCAATAAAACATTCTGTGTAGTTTACACTAAAATTATCATTCTTATGGATTCATATTTATATGCAATAAGTGCTCATTGTGTAGACCAAACTGAAGTTCAATGATAAAAGACTCATCTTTAATGATCATTTCGATGTATACTATATGAGGCTTACAAATTAAAGAGTGGATGATATTTTATTTTTGACTAATTGATTACAATTCCCTCAGATCTACATAGATGAACTGCTCATGACTCAAAGATTTAGAAAAGAGAACTTCAAATCAGTTGAGTTTGGGCAGTAGTGAGTAGGCCACTAAACTACCACAGTTTTGGTTTAGCACATTAGCCACTTTAGCACAGATGTAGTGAAGCTATATCTGCACCATCATGTGGTCCTTGGAACAAAATTCCCTTTCTTTGGATGGCAACAGAGTCTGCCATCTTTTAAAGTGTTTCTATATTAAGTGTTAATGCCAGGCTTGAAGTTATTGAGTAAGCCAGACAAGGCAAAGCCATGTTCCCCTCCAGTTGTGTGTGGGGCCTTTCATGAGCTCCATTCATAGAAGAAAAAACCATGTTCTACACAAATGAGGATTGTTATCCACATGTTTTTTTTCTCTCAAAACAATCTGATTAAAGATATTTTATAGGGGAATAACATTGACATCTGTATGTAGGGAATGGTGTTCAGTGAAAGCTCTTTCATTATATTAGGTGAAGTTGTGGATGATCTTTCAAAGACAAATTCATGTGCAGAAGGGTCCTACCATGGCTACCGAGACTTTCCTCCCATCCTATTCTCTCTTAGCCACTTATTCCACCCCCTACAAGATCTATATAAACACACATATCCTCAGGTTTTATTCACCACATTGCACTACATCATCCTCCATAAACATCTTTTTTCTGCCTCCTTCAACTTAAGCTGAATTTCATCCTCAACCTAGAGTCTGAACATGGCTATTAGTATGGGGCACATTCTCCGTGGTAAACAAGGCCTAAGAAGGTCTTCTTCAAGAATAAACAGAGAAAGTGAGGTTCCTAAGGGACACTTTGCAGTTTATGTAGGCGAGGGCGAGAAGAAGAGATTTGTCATTCCAATTTCATACTTGAAGGACCATTCATTCCAAAACTTGCTAAGTCAATCCGAAGAAGAATTCGGGTTTGATCATCCAATGGGTGGGCTTACAATTCCTTGTCCGGAGGACACCTTCCTTGACATCATCTCTAGCATTGTGTAGGTATTGACAGAGAGTACATGCAGCTCAGTTTATTTTAGTCAGCGGGATAGCTTTGGAGCTTAAAGTATACTGCATTCTTTTTTTTGTTTCCTGATCAAATTGGGAAATAATATTTTTTTCAATTTTTTTAAAAATGGTCATGTATCTACTTATTACTTGACCCAGTTATTCAAGGTTTTTCCTAGTTCATATATGGAAAGAAAGATTATCAGTTAAAGGCATTTTCATCCTATGTAGCTATGACACTGAGTTGTGTGCAAAGTTTATGTTTATAAAGCATACCCTGTATATATTTATAGGTCTTACCTTTCATGAAAGAAATTCAAGATATGTTCAGAATACAACAATAATCTTGGGAAGAGTCCATATTTTAGTACTCATATCCAAAAGTTTCCATGATAGCCATTAAAATTATGGCCTGCCTACACCTAAGCAAGCCCTATGACATGTGGTTTAGAGCAAGTGTTGGTGGTAAATGCAGATAAAAATACTCTGTACTCCGTATTAAGGAGTAGTAGTATACTAATAAAGTAATAAGGTGAAATTGAAAATATTTACTTGCACCAAAGACCAACATTGTGATATTTTCAATGTAAATTTCAGTACTTATCCTAATACTCCCTCTGTTCCCAAAATACATCCATACTTTCAAAAAATGCATTTTCATCTGTAACAAAATTGTGAGATGATCCTAGGCATCAGTCATAAACCTTGCCACTATAAGTTCGACTACACTGACCCCAACTAGTCACAATTAAGATGGTGTTTTTGACAAATGAGGTGTTGTGGATAAGTGACTCCTATGTCATTCCAAGACCTGTTAAGTCATTCTGAAGAAATTTTGGTTTGATCATCCGATGGGTGGACTTCCAATTCCTTGTCTGGAGGACACTTTCTTTGACATCATCTGTAGTCTTGAGTAGATGCTGATAGTCATTCCGAACAATTTAGTATAGAGACTTCAGGCAGCTTAGTTTATTATAGCCATTTTAAACAAATTTGTACCTAGAAGTATACTTGTATAGTGTTCTTGAGAAGAGTCCATATTTTGTGTGCAACTTCAAACACCATTTATGCAAAAGTTTTTGTGGTAGACATTAACACATTTAGATAAGAATGTATTCATATTTGCAGTTAACACATATAGTGGCATCCAACTTCACTTAATCTATTATTCACTCAATGGGCGTTGAAACAATCCTGCCCTGATAATTAGTCCATCCATGTGGAATTAGTTATCCACTTTCTTGTTTTCATTTATCTGGATTCAGTTGTCCACTTTTCATATCCAATGAAGATAATACGATGAATTGTCTGAATTATCCTAGAGATAAGGTAAGAGCAATGTTCTCATGAATGAGTGACAAACACATTTGAAAGAGTTATCTGACATTTTAAACTCATTTTTTAAAAATGAGATTTTTTAGAAAGTGGACAACTAAATCTAGATGGAGAGAGTATATACTTACATGCAATACATGTGTGAATACATATTTTACATTAGGATATACCATAGTGATGGCTTAAGAACATTTTAATTTTTAGAACTATTGTTAAGCTTATCCAGATAAACCATAGTAAACCAGATTCAAGAATGGGTGGGTAACAACATGGCCTAGGGACATAGAACATATTTTAAGATTATTAAGCTTATTGTTGGACATAGAAACTATATTGCAGGTTTGGTATAAAATTTGTTGCGTAGTTTACCCAAAAATTATCATTCTTATTGAAACATATTCTTATGCAATAAGTGCTTAAGTATAGATCGAATTGTAGTTCATTGACAAAAGATTCATTATTTCAGTTCAATTTGATGTACAATATATGAGGCTTACAAATTAAAGAGCTGAGGGTATGTTTTTTTACTTTATGATCAATGTTCGAAATTGCGTATTGCGGTTTCGAGGCGTTCTCTTTTCATGGCGTATTGCGTAAGCCTGAATTTTTAAATTGAAAAATATCCACAAAACAATTTAAAACTAAAGATAGAACATAATATATAACATAAATAATCCAAAAACATTAAAAAAAGTATATTGTCAAAGTAATACATCGCAAACACAATAAAGTCTAACATGGAATAAGACATAATATTGCTCAAAGTGATGAGCTCAAATTGAAGAATTGAAAAAAACAGCTTGAAATTAGGATCAAAAGATTAGCACAACAATTATCAAAAAAAGAATAAAAAAAGAGATTAACAGCTAAAAAAATGCATCACTATCCAACTACTTGACAAAAAAACACCAATTATAAACTCCAACCGTAAAAAAGGAAAATTGAATGCTCGTGTACTTCATAAAATGATAACAAAAAAAACTAATTAAATAAATTTATCAAGATAATAAGTTAATAGTAGATTATAAATCCTCCTGCTATCATCCATCCATTCGTATACCATTTGTCGGAAAGAAAAAAAATTGTAGCTGCTCTAGACACGGAAAACAAAGACGCACACAAGATGAATCGCACCTGCTATCGCGATGGAGATGAATCGCAGCTTGAAAATCTCAGCAATTAGGGTTGCAATTAAGGTCATCGACAAGGTAATTTTAAAATATATACACTTAATTGGGATAATTGACAACTTTAACCTTTTATTTCCTAAATTTTACACGCTCAATTGTGTATGCCTCATTGCGTGCCCCAGTGCGTACGCCTCATGGCGTAAGCCTTTAAGAAAATTGCGTAAAATGGCTAATTGCGTGAATCGGGATTCACACCAAGGTGTTATTTTCTGGAAAAAGTTTCATTTGCACCAGGATATACCATAGTGATGGCTTAAGAACATTTTAATTTTTAGAACTATTGTTAAGCTTATCCAGATAAACCATAGTGAACCAGATTCAAGAATGGGTGGGTAACAACATGGCCTAGGGACATAGAACATATTTTAAGATTATTAAGCCTATTGTTGGACATAGAAACTATATTGCAGGTTTGCTATAAAATTTGTTGCGTAGTTTACCCAAAAATTATCATTCTTATTGAAACATATTCTTATGCAATAAGTGCTTAAGTATAGATCGAATTGTAGTTCATTGACAAAAGATTCATTATTTCAGTTCAATTTGATGTACAATATATGAGGCTTACAAATTAAAGAGCGGAGGGTACGTTTTTTACTTTATGATCACAATCCACCAAGATCTAGAAAATCAGGTGACTTATAGACAGTAGAGAAGTCAGAAAAGGGATGAAAGCGTTTTCGTTCTATGAGATTCAAAATGGTTTTGTTGAGGAACTTCCCTACAAGGGACATCGTTGGGGTGGGGGCTATTCATAATATCGTGCTTAGACCATCCACACCCTAGATCTTCAGGAGAGTGAACAGTTGTCAGTAAACTACTTGAGTTTTGGTCTAGCACAGATGTACCGAATCTTAGTCGCAATATCCCAAATTATCTCAGGCAATTAGATTGTTTAATGATTTTTGTTTACCATGAATATAATCTGAATAAAGTTTATTATGTTAAAAAATTGGAACATATGAATATCTGTTGAACTACAGCTGATGAGTTCTTCATCAGTTACAAAATGTACCGACATTAATGTCAGCAAACAAGTAGTTCCTGATTTCTCCAGCCTTCTTGGTGTAGTGGGGACAAGCAAATGAAGCAATTTGTTCTCAAGTTCTCTGGATAAACCCCTGCTAATAGTGAAAATATGCAGTCCATGAAGGTTGAATCACAAGGTAGTGTATTATGCCCATTGCTTGGACGTCCAGAATCTTCCTCAGACATGTTGAAGAGTTTGTCTAATAATTTCATAAGCGATATAAAAGAGGCACAACAAAGCCTTTCTAACCAGCTGTATACATAGCCTAATGACCCTGATTAACTGCTGAAGAGGAAGTAAAGCAGCTACCTGCATCATCTTGTAGTCTTGGGAACAAAATTCTCTCTTTGGATGACAGCAAACTTCTGTCTTGTTTTTGCTCGCTTGACAAGTAATTTGAAACTGATCATGTTATTAGCTCAAAATACAAAGAAAGAAAGGGAGATCTAATGGGGAGATATACAAATTATATAGACACCTTGAATCTTGGTTGGACAAATTTGTAGTGTTGGATGAACAAATTTCATATGGAAGTTTGTCTGTTTAGTTAATCAGACCAGGGAAAATCATGTTCTCTTCCAGTTGTGTGGGGGCCTTTCATTCAGAGCAGACAAAACCATGTTTCCGAGTAATCTGATTAGCATTGACATCTGGCAGTAAGTTGGGCTTTCCCTTCATGTAGGGAATGATGTTCAGTGACAGTTCTTTTGTTATGTGAACTTGTGGATGATCTTTCCCAGACAAATCCATGTGCAGAATGGTCCTATCATGCTACCCAGACTTTCCTCCCATCCTAATCTCTCTTAGCCATTTATTCCACCTCCTAAAAGATCTATATAAACACACATTTCCTCAGGTTTTATTCACCACACACAACTACATCCTCCACAAACACCTTTTTTTCTGTCTTCTTCAAGTTACACTGCATCCTCCACAACCTAGAATCTGAACATGGCTATTAGTATGGGTCACATTCTCAGTGGTAAACAAGGCCTAAGAAAGTCTTCTTCAAGAACAAAAAGAGAAAGTGAGGTTCCTAAGGGGCACTTTGCAGTTTATGTCGGCGAGGGCGAAAAGAAGAGATTTGTCATTCCGATTTCATACTTGAGGGACCATTCATTTCAAAACTTGCTTAGTCAATCCGAAGAAGAATTCGGGTTTGATCATCCGATGGGTGGACTTACAATTCCTTGTCCGGAGGACACTTTCATTGACATCGTCTCTAGTCTTGAGTAGATACTGATAGTCATTCTGAACAATTAGTATAGAGATTACACACAGCTTAGTTTCATATTCTGAATTTTTTTGTACCTAAAAGTGTACTTGTACAATGTTCTTTTTTTTCCCTGATCCAATTGGGAAATAATGTTCATCAAAATATTTTCAATAGCCATGTATCAATTTACTAATCTTGATTTCTTCAAGTTTTAACTAAGGAAGTCCAATTTTTCAAGTTTTTTTTGAAAGTGGGATTTCATAGTAAAACACATTTTCAGTAGCTATGATGCTGAGACTTGCACGAAATCTAAAATAATGCATGTAATGTGTTGCTTATAAATCTTCCCTTTCTTGAAAGCAATTGAAGAAATGTTCAGGACATAGAATTATAATCTTGAGAAGAGTCTACATTTTGTGCACAACTTCAGAGTTCAGACGCCATATATGCATAAGTTTCATCTTTGCAGTTTACACATATAGTGGCATCCAACTTCATTGTTCATATGAATGAGTGACAAACACATCTGAAGGACTTATTTGATATTTCAAACTCACTTTTTAAAAATGAGATTTTTTTAGAAAGTGGGGGGGAGGGAGTATATACTATAAGCAATACATGTGATGGCTTGATAACATTTTAATTTTTAGAAAGCATATCCAGATAAAGACCAAATTGAACCATACATGAATTGTGTGTCAACATTGCTTTTGGAACACAGAACATATTTGAAGATACTTTCCAGGTGAATAACATTGACATCTGGCTGTATGTTGGGCTTTCACTGTCTGTTCACTTTCATTGAAAGCATGTAGGGAATGGTGTGTTCAGTTACAGCTCTTTCATTATGTTAGGTGAACTTGTGGATGATCTTTCAAAGACAAATCCATGTGCAGAAGTGTCCTATCATGCCTACCCAGACTTTCCTCCCATCCTAATCTCTCTTAGCCAATTATTCCACCTCCTAAAGATATATATAAACACACATTTCCTCAGGTTTCATTCACAACATTCAACTACTTCATCCTCCATAAACATCTTTTTTCTGCCTCCTTCAACTTAAGCTGAATTTCATCCTCCACAACCCAGAATCTGAACATGGCTATTAGTATGGGGCACATTCTCCGTGGTAAACAAGGCCTAAGAAGGTCTTCTTCAAGAACAAACAGAGAAAGTGAGGTTCCTAAGGGACACTTTGCAGTTTATGTCGGGGAGGGCGAAAAGAAGAGATTTGTCATTCCGATTTCGTACTTGAAGGACCATTCGTTCCGATTTCTAATTTTTTTAAATAGTCATGTATCTACTTACTACTTGACCCACAATTATTCAAGGTTTATCCTAGTTCATCTATGGAAAGTAAGATTATCAGTTAAAGGCATTTTCTTCCTATGTAGCTAAGACAGTTAGATGTGTGCAAAATTTAAGTTTATGAAGGGGGAAAACGAAACGTCAAGTTCACATACATTACAAAGGTACCCAGATTTGTAGCCAAGAAAAGAAGTATTCTTGCATACTAATAACAACAAACTGAGTAGAATCTCATAAGAAAGTAGGATTTTGGGAGAGTGCGTGTACACAAATATTGCTCTACTTGGAAGTAGAGAGATTGTTCCAAAGAGATTGAATGTTGATTCATTTCAATAAGTCCATCGAAGTGATGAAAAACAATTCGTATACGGTTCGGTAGCTAGGAACCGAAGCCCCTACTAACATCACTCACTGGGGAATACCTTTCATCCTCAGTGTAAATGCTTGCAAAGACAGAAGAAGAGCCTTGATTTTGTCCTTGGTTTCAGCATCAATCAAGTCCCCATTGCTAGTGTCAAACTTGGGAGGGGGCTGGAAAGCATGGATGAAAAGTTGAGGCTTGTTAATGAAATGAAGGTCGATGCATACCCCGATCTGGCGGAGATGATATTGTGCTCGTATCCCGCGAGAACCCCCGGCCGCACTCATGATTGCTGCCGTTTTACCACCCCAAACATTCGGGGGCCGAGATGCCCAATCAATTGCATTCTTCAATGGTCCTACACACACACACAAGAGTAATTCTCAATATCAGTGACATAATTTGGCCTTGCATTGCCAAATTATGAGATCGTTTTTTTTTTCGGAAAGATTTTTTACTCCCTCCGTCCCAAATTATAATGCATGTTTACTATTTACAGGTCAAACTTTACTCATTTTCTTTTTCTATTTTCGTTAGCAATTTGATACAATAAAGTACTATTGTCACTACTAGTTTTGTAGATCTTTTGATGTAGTATTTTAACTCTATACCATTTGTCATATAAAATGATTTGAAAATAATTTTAGTCAAACATCGTAAACCGAAACATGCACTAAAAATTGGGACGGAAGGAGTACTTTTCAACACTTTTTTTAAGAACAGTGAAAGTTAAAACGAGATCGTTTTACTGGATGGAGGGAGTGAGTAACTAAAAGAGTGTTTGTAAGCACTCCCTAAGCAGAAGTGATTGGATTTTTCCCATTCGAGCAATTTTAGGGGTAAAAGACAAAAGCAATTTGGACAGTTTGAAAGTGGACAACTTGGATGGATAATGCTCAAAGATGCCAAATAGTGCGTAGCATATCTAGTAGCTTAATGGACTACTCGACTCTAAGCCCTTCATTGTGGAGAAGAAATGCTTGATTGGTTGGCAATGAATTTAACAAGTACTCCCTCCGTCCCACTGTTTTTGTCCATTTATTTTTTGGCACACCATCTAATGCACTTCTTTAATCTATTTTATCTTGTAATTTGTATATTAAAAAATTATAAAAATTATATATTAATAATCTATATGTTAAGACAAATCAAACAAGATCACACATGACTATATTTAGGCTTACATATTGAGAGAATTTGATGAGTCAAAGTGCTTAGATGAACAGTTCCAAAAGTTAAAAGTGGACAAAGACAGTGGGACGAAGGTAGTATTATTTTTGACATTTATAATTTTAAAATGATTCAGCCGGTGTTTCATTGATAAAATTGATGCATTTATCTCTCTAACCGCCCTACCTCCGACGCCGCTTATTTGGGAGTTGGGATGGAGTGCAGTGTGGGGGGGGGGGGGGTGGGGTTTATTTTACGAGGGGAATAAGGAGGTAAGAACCATCGGTTTTTACTAAGAGAGTGCCAGAGTGCTAATGTCATTTTAATGTCAAAACTACTCCGTATTAATGTCAAAAGAAGTGTTGTGATTTTTTAAATGAATTAATGGAGATGGTGGACTCCCTAGACTCCAAGTCTACAACTATAATGCATCTTAAAAAATGAATGTAGTACTATAGCTGTGTTCTGTTCGTCTGATCTGATCTCATCTGATTTTTTGAAGATCTGATCTGATTGCAGTTATAATTAAAGTTGTTTCTGATCTGATCTGATTATAATAAGAATAAATAATAAGTAGAAAAACTAAGTTAAACGGAACGCTGCCTATGTTTCTTGGTTTCTTGCTAAGGTTTTGTTTGGCAAACAAAATACGTTTACGTAGTATGGGATTAATTTGACTACTCAAGATATAACACAGAGTAAGATGAAATAATATTTTTCAAACACAACAAATCTTTTCACAACTTTTGTTGTCATATCAAGAAAATGGATTCGTATAGTGTTCTGTTAGGCCCAAAAATAATTCTTGTCTCCTCTCTCAAATCCCCTCAATAAAGCTTCCTCAGCCCCCTTACTAACTCTCCTCTCTTAATCGCCGATTTGCTAGAGTAAATCAACGACTAAGAGCATCAACAATGACAAGACAAAAATGAAATGTCACGTGGTGACATGAAATATTTTGAGAAATCAAAAATAGTCTATTTGCTTGTGGCAAACGAGTAGAGTGACAAGCTCTGCAGTGACAAGTCATTGTTTTTTGTCATTCTTTATATTTTTTATGTATTTTAATTATTAAAAATTATTTTATTTATCTTTTTTTTAAAAAAAATGCTTCCACTTCTTTAAAAAAGATTATTCTATTTTATGAAAAATAGCAAAAGAAAATTGAAAAAGAAAAGAAAAAAAGGAAAATTAAGAGAAAATTGACTCACATATGTCATGCAAAGAGGTGTAGAAACTACTTTCGGACCCCATAATATGACAATAAAAATTACGTAAAAAAATCGAGTCGTTTTCCAAAAGAATGAGTCTCACATCTACTGTTCAATTTTTGAGGAGTTTAGTGTTCATTATTACTATCTTCGTTTCTGAGTATTTGTTTAATTTTGACTTTTTTTGGTCAACTATTTTCAACCTTTGACTTATAATTAAATAAAATATGTATTATATATATTAATTAGATAAAATAATATTTTGAAAATATTTGATAAAGTAAATCTAATAAAACTATTTTTGTATCAATATCTATCAACATGTTTATTTAGTTTGAGATCAAAATTTATTAATTTTGATTGAAAAAAGTTAAAAGTGAATAAATATTCAAGACAAACATTTTCTAGTGACTTTTTCAAATGGTTAAAAAGATGGAAGGATAAATTGGACTTTGAAGCCAAACACAAATGATGTAAAACTTTCTTTATAAGTTGTTAAATATTACAGCGGGAATAAAAACGAAATAAAATTAATCTGAACTTATAAACCGTTCGGATTTTACAACGAAAAATAGAATAAAGAAAAATGGGAGTCTTCGGAAGCTCGAACACGAACGGACAGGAGGAAGAACACGAACAGCAACTGCGTCGGACAGAAGGTTGTGGGTCTCCGGAGCTATTTCTTGGAAATATAGGAAAGCGGAGTCGCCGGAGCTTTCCTTAAGGTAGTTTTGCCCGCCTCCCGCACTGCTAAACGTGGGCAATCTCCTCCCAGGATAAAACCGCAGCGTGCAAAGTCTAGAGCGGTAGAACGATGCACCGGCGAACGAGAACGACGGAAGTCACTGCTAGAGAAGACGATCGGAAAACGGGACGTTGGACTGTGTTTTTGATTTTTTTTGCTTGTCTTCTTGTTCTCTCAACCAACCTCTCCTTAAATAGGAGGAGGTTTGGCTAATGGATAGACCGGACGAGAATATCGAGGAGTCTCAAGTGACTCTTCGGTTGGCATGCATGCATTTCCCTTGGACAATCCACACTTCGTTAATCACGAAGTGTCCACGCGTGTTTAATTCAGTCTCGTAAAAAACTAGCCCCGCCGCGACGCGCGCGTGCTGGACGGACAGCGGCGGCGGCGCGCGAGAAGTCATTTTCTTGTTCCTTTCATAACCTCAATTAAACGTTCAAGTTTAAATATGAGAATACGAAAGGTTCAAAAACCGGTGTGGGACAAAGGTTTTACTCTTCCCTCATATTCAACTTTGAGAATTAATTTCTCATTCACCCGAGCACCATTTATGGCGTGTAATATGTCGAAACATTTATCTCACATACGAGATTAAACGTCCATAATTATTTCAGAAAATAATTTTGTGGACCCCACCGAATTTATGTTTGAAAAAGTCCAATTTATCAAAAAAGTCCAACAATCCCCCATATGAATGAAAATTAATTCACGTGACTGGCAATAACTATGAAGTTGAAAATTGCAAGAGTAGGTAGGTTTAACGCCTTTGAACCTACTCCTTGTAAAGTATACCTTCTTTACTGCCTGTTCAGTAGAATGTGATGTCTTTGAACTGTACTGCCGTTTATGTAAATGACAATATACAATACACAAGTTTCAACCAACCATCATTCCGTTCTCATGGGTGTGCCCATTATGGTCGTGGAACACACATCTGGTTCTGCGAGAGTGTCAGACAGGATCAGCCCGAAATCCTTCGGTTGAAGCGACCGCACTTCATTCTTACATAGGTGATTCTTCTAAGAGTATCCCGATTACTCCACTTGGACCCCCTTGTCCATAGTTCAAGACTCATTAAAGCATCATGCTAACCTCATCGTTTCCGGGAGTCACTATATCTTGGCAGGAACGGAGGGGTGTTAAGTCGGTGATCCGGCTTGCCCCCACAGTGACCATGCTTCGTTCCACAAGTAGGTTGTCCCATTGAACCCAGGTACCACCCAAGTTGGGTTTTCCTTAATGGAACGTTCCCAGCATAGGGTAGGGCTTTCAGACCCATTCCTACCACTAACTTCTCATGTTACTCATTTGTTAACCCTTTGGTTAATGGATCCGCTAAGTTATCCTTTAACTTGACATAGTCAATTGAGATAATACCCGTATTGAGAAGTTGCCTAATGGTTTTGTGTCTACGGCGAATGTGCCTAGACTTACCATTATACAATTTGTTCCGAGCTCGTCCTATTGCTGATTGACAGTCATAATAGACGCAAATAGGAGAAACTGGTTTTTCCCAGTTTGGAGTATCCTCAAGTAAGTTCCGAAGCCACTCGGCATGTTCTGCGCACTTATCTAGTGCTATAAACTCAGACTCCATGGTGGATCTGGCAATTAACGTTTGTTTTGAGGATTTCCAGGATACAGCTGCACCAGCTAACATAAAGATAAATCCAAATCTTTCATATCGAATCGTACGTTCAACATGTCCTTGGTGGACTTAACCATCCTGTCGTTGCTTCCAACGATGAGTATGTCGTCTACATACAGACATAGAATGACATACCCTTCAGATGTGTCCTTAAAGTATACACACTTATCCGACTCATTTATCTTAAAATCGTTGTTCATCATTACCTCGTCAAACTTATCATGCCATTGTTTTGGCGCTAGTTTAAGAGCATATAATGATTTCACAAGTTTGCAGACCTTCTTTTCTTGGCCCGGAACCTTAAACCCCTCAGGTTGTTCCATATAGATTTCTTCATCTAGTTCGACATTTAGAAAAGCAATCTTTACATCCATTTGATAAACATCCAGGTTTCGTAAGGATGCAAATGCGATGATCATTCTGATAGAATCTATCCTAGTCACGGGCGCGTAAGTATTTAAGTAGTCATAGCCCTTACGTTGGTTATACCCCTTGATCACAAGTCTGGCTTTGTACTTGTCAATGGAGCCGTCAGGCTTCATTTTCCTCCGAAAGACCCATTTAGAACCTAATGGCTTACACCCTAGAGGAAGATCAACCAATTCCCACGTGTGATCAATCAATGTCCAGCGGACCTCTCACGGCATGTTCCTCACTCAAACTCTGTTCATCTATGACATCCTCGAACGGGCCGGCATGACCTCGTGCAAACCGGTTTCTACACCTGTGGACACCCGCGGGAAACTTTCGACCACCGCCAGTGATCTAGCGCCTGATCCCTCTCTATATCGCTCTATTGTGGGAGCCCTGCAGTACCTTACTTTCACCCGTCCGGATATTACCTATGCCGTCCAGCAGTTATGCCTCTTTCTTCATGATCCTCGTGCACCACATGTTACAGCCATGGTTGTCAAGTCATCGCCTAGGCCACGACTAGTAGCCGACTAGTCGTCCAGACGGTTTTGCCACGGCGATTTGCTCTTCGACTAGCGCCTAGGGCCGACTAGGCTATTAAGCGTGCAAAGCGACGCTTAGGCGCGATTAGGCCACGCCTAATCGATGAAAGAAATGGGCCGAATTTGACCTAATCCAATTGACCCGACCCGACCCGACCCAAATTTCATTAATTTTTAATTTTTTTTATAAAACACTGCCTCTTTCGATGCAATCCATCCACAATCGACAGTCTGGAGGGTCGCGACTCTAGTCTTCCAGTTCCACTTTCGCGACTCTCCTCCATCAGTGATTCTCCTCCATCAGCGACTCTCCTGACTCTCCTCCATGGGTAAGATTTCTCAATGTTTACTTTGTTATCATATACTCTTTATTTGATTTAATTTTCATTGATTTGGTTCATTAAATTATAAAGTATAATATACTTTAAAATTTTCATTTTTCTGCCGTTTTCTTAATATTTTAATTTTTTTCTTATTCTAGTATTTTAGTATTTCAGTTTTTTTTCAGTTTAATATTTCAATTTTTTTTCTGAATTCAGTTAATATTTTGGTTTTGTATTTCTTATTTTAATATTTTATGGTATTTTGTCATATATGTGTGTGTGTGTGTGT